TGGATCCCTTTGACAAATGGCTTCTACTCCCAAAGCACCCATGGGTGCTGGTGTTGGGGGCACCAGCAGGGAACCTGCACCAGCACCAAGCTTACCTGGCCTTGGCATGGCTGTAGAAGCAGGACCTGGTGCCACGTCCCCACGCTGTCATCAGGACACCTGCCAAGGACATGCCACCATCACGTCCTTCCTCAGGGACCCTGCTCTCCTCCATGGGGTTGGGACCGCCTAAGATGCCCCAGGAGGGATGGTGCTTTGGGACCCCCAGGTCATCCCCAGTAGGCTCTCTGTCCCACCACCAAGGACATCACCCCAACCTCACCTCCTCCTCCTGGGGCTCATCCTCCAGCACAGGGGCTGGGATGGTGAGCCAGAGGGTGGACACCCCTCTTTGGTGCTGGACAGACATGTTCTCCAGCTTCTGCCCATGCAGGCACCTGAGACAGGAGAACAACACAGGGACTTTCCCATTCCCAAGCTGTCTCCAGGCCCTGGACATCCCTCCCCATCAGGAGATCTTGCAGGACCTCAGGGTGCCTGGAGCAGCAGTTCCCCACCTCCCTCCCCACATGCACTGACCCATGGCTGTTCACCACCGTGAAGACCCTCCTGGAGCGTCCCAGCTGCTCCAGGCTGGTCCCATAGCACTGGTCCACATAGATCTTCAGGGAGATCCTGGGACTGAAGTGGACTGTGGCCTCCAGGGTGATGTCAGAGCCAGGGCTGAGCACCAGCAGCTTCTTCATGGCACTGGAGTCCCCTGAAGAAGGGAGGGTGGGTTCAGTGTGACATCCCCAACCCTGTCCCACCACAGACAGGGACATCAGACACATCCCAGAGCACCACCTGTAGGTGCCCCCACCCCTGCCAGGTGGGTGCCTGCAGCTCCCCGATTTCAGAGCCCACCCCCCGTCCCTGGAAGCCAAGAGCTGTCCTGGCTCTGTCACCACAGCCTGGCTCCCCTGCCCGCTCTCCAGAGCTACAGCACCTTCTCCTCCCCACCACAGAGCCAAGAGGGACCGTGTCACTCATCAGGGTGACAAGGGGCAGCTGAACCCCAAAATCCCATCATGGTGCCTAGCAGAGGATTGGGAACGTCTCAGAGCATCACCATTCAGAGCCCTACACTCTCCACAAGGCTGGGAGGTAAGGTCCTGCAGGGATGGCCACCTTCTCTTGGTGAGCCCTGGTGCTGAGACCAGCCATGAGAAAGCACCAGGTGCTGCTGGTCAAGCCCAGGAGCCTTGGTTGGGCCCATCCTGTGGTCTCATCCCCCTCTAAAGTTGTCACCCAACACCAGACCCAGAGCACTCACCATCCAGGAGCCTCAAGGTGAAGTTCATGGTGGGTTCCTCAGAGCGGGGGTGTGTATGAGCCCCACCAGGCAGGGTGGCAGCAGCAAGCACTGTCCCCATGCCTGAGGGCACCACTGGAGTCACCACTGGGTGACCAGAGGACACTGAAGCAGCTGGAGCCATGGTGGTCCCTGCAGCAGGGGCAGGGTTTAGCCAGGTTGCAGCAGCATGTCCTGGGCACGGTGGGGACATCCAGGTCCTCAGATGTCCCCGGGACTCGCAGAGGGCAGGTGGCAGCACCACAAAGGAGATGAGAGCACCCAGGAGCTCAGCTGGGTTCGGGCACATCGGGGTGCTCCTCCATCTCCAGCTTCCCCAGTCAGGACCTCCCCTGCTCTTGGTGGCCAGGCCCTGGCATGGGACCACTGTGGTGGGTGCTGGAGGAGGTGGGGCTCCACAAGGGTCTCCGCAGCCCTCCCAGAAGGTGAGGTGAAGCACCAGGCATGCCTGGAGCAGGTGGGCAGTACTGTGACCCCAGCCAAGGCTGGGGACAGACCAGGAGCTGCTCATGAGGTGGGAATCTGTTGCCAACAGCCAGGTACCCCACCAAACCAGGTCTTCACAGACCTGCTGGGACATAGGGGCACCAGGAGCTCCTGGCCAGCCCCCTTGCTCCAACCACACATCACCAGAGCACAGGGTCACTTTAGGAAGTCTCCTCTCCACCAAGGTGACCTGTTCCAGCAGGTCCAGGAGGGCATCAGGAACCAGCACTGGGCAAGACCAAGGGGCACCCACCTCCCTCCTGCACCCAGACATGGGTGCTACCACCCACCTCCCCCAGTACAACCAGTGGGGGGGAACTGAGGAGACCAGCCAGGGGGTCCCAGCCCCACTCCCCTGCCACCTCCAGCAGAACCTCACAGACCAACACCCACCAGCACAACCCCATCCTCAACAGACACCAGCCCCACCTGGGGGCCTTTAAAGACCAGGGTTGGGTGCCAACAGGCCCCAGCTGGTGCTGCTCCATTTGGGTGATTTCCTTGATCTTCTCTGCAGCCAACCAGCATGGAGCTGGTCCTACACACCATCCCAGCCCCATCACAAGGATCTCCACCCATCACTCAGTCCCTGTTCCATCACATGATCTCAATTCCATCACTCGGTCTGGTGCTGCTTGTGGTCCTGGTCCTGAGCAAGGTCCAGGTCCCACTGCATGGTCCTATATCCACCACTTACTCCTGGTCCCATACGTGGTGATGGTCCCACCATGTAGTTTTGGTCCTGCATGTAGTCCTCATCCAATTGCCTTGCCCTGGTCCCAGTTGCACCACATGGTCTGGTCCCACCACTCAGTCTTGGTCCCATGGATCTTCCCAGTCCCACATCATGGTCCTACACATGGTCCTAGGCCCACCACAGTTCTGATCCCAGAACTTAGTGATGGTCTCATCACACAGTCCTGGCCCCCAGTGCACCATCCTTGTCCCATTATGGTCCTGCTCGCAGGCCCAGCCCCACTACAGAACCCTGGACCCATGTGGTCACTTCTATTGAGAACAGAAGCCCGTAGGAGGAGGCTGGTGGGTGCTGGGACGGGGGACTTCAGCAGGCGGACTTTCCTTCCACCCTTTGGCCCCAGGC